ACAGATGTGTCTTGCACTATAATTAACCGTAGCCCGCAATTTTTTCGACTTTGTTCGTCAGAAGTAATGGATGGGCGAAGACATTCCGTAGATGTTCCCATATCGAGAACACTCGTAGCTCTTAGGAGAGTGAGGTCCCTCCGTGACCCGTCTACTCACTCCATGAGCAAATTGTCACCTTTGATCGACAGTTTAGATTGGGAAATGAATCCGGATAATTACGGTTTGGGCAGCCGAGAATTATATTACGGTTCGAGACAAAATCAATCAGAGATAATTCGTGAAACTAACACGACGATGGAAAAAATGCTCGCCGATCACAATGATGATAGTAGTTCGTGTGACGAACGGGACGAATTCTCGAAGCAAAACGAGAAAAGAGTATCAGAGATAGTTCGTGAAACTAACATGAGGATGAAAAAAATGCTCGCCGATCGTGATAACAGAAGTTCGTGTGACGAACAGGACGAAGTCTCGAAGCAAAATGAGAAAAGAGTATCACAGATAGTTCGTGAAACTAACATGAAGATGAAAAAAATGCTCGCCGATCGTGATAACAGAAGTTCCTGTGACGAACGGGACGAATTCTCGAAGCAAAATGAGAAAATAGAAGATAATTTCGGTGGATCTAAGCATTCAAAGCTTGGAAAATCGTATAAATCAACAAATGGCGATGCTTTGAGCCGTTTGGGAAGTCCTTGCTCGTACTCTATTGGTGAAAAGATTGGTTTTACGGGTTCTTGTCATCAGGGGTGCGGGATAAGAAGCTGTTGGTCTAGGACAAAGAGATACAGGGAATCGAATCTCGTTAGTTATGACAATGATGTTCTTGAAGAGCAGCCTCTTCTTCTAACCGGAGAAAGTCCATATATAGAAAGTCCTACAAACCTCTGTCAAAAGTACATGCCGAAATCATTTTCCGACTTGGTCGGGCAAAGCTTTGTGGCAACTTCTCTTCTGAATTCGATCTCCAATAAGCAGATAAGCTCTCTGTACATCTTTCACGGGCCGCGCGGCACTGGAAAAACATCGGCCTCGAGACTATTCGCCGCTTCTTTAAACTGTCACTCGCGGAACATCATCTCGAACGAGCCTTGCAGCTCGTGTCACGAGTGCAGCTTGCTTTTCTCGGGAAGGAGTCGGGATTTTCAAGAGCTCGACCCCTTAAGAATCAACAAAATCGGACGGCGTAAATCAAATGTGTTAAGCATGTGGGCCCCACCGGTTTCTTCTAGTTTCAAAGTTTACGTTTTGGACGAGTGCCATCTCTTGCGTGGGGAGACGTGGGCAGATTTGCTGAGCTGGCTTGACGGGCTCCCGAGGAATAATGTCATTTTAGTAATGCTGACACCTAATCTCGATAAAGTCCCCTGTAGTGTGGTGTCTAGGTCTCGAGTGCACCGTTTTCAGAGAGTTAAGGAAGCTGATATTGTGGGCCATTTGAGAAAAATATGTGTCGAGGAAGGTATCGAGTTCGAGGAGGATGCTTTGAGTTTCGTAGCGAATAAATCCGGTGGTTCGGTTCGGGATTCGGTTATGATGCTCGATCAGCTGAGTTTGCTCGGGAAGAAGATAACCGTGTCTTTAGTTTGTGAAGTGGTGAGTGGTGGATGAGTTTTGGGATAACTACAAATTAAAAAGGGCCTTGTTTGAAATTTTCCCTATTTTTTCTCTTTTTGATTGGCCTGCAAAGCTGTTTTGATTATTCATTGTCTTGACTTTGAAGCTGTGTTTGCTGACACAGAATGGAGTTGTCTCTAATGACGAGCTGCTCGATTTACTCTATCTAGCATTGTCTTCTGATGCTTCGAGGACTGTGAAAAGGGCTCGAGAGCTAATGAGATCAAGAACCGAGCCTTTGCAACTCGTGTCTCAGCTGGCGAATCTCATAATGGACATTCTTGCCGGAAAATTTCCAGACAGTGCTTCTTCGGATGTCACAAGGAAGCTTTTCGGAATGGATAATTGTACGTTTTCATTTTTTAAGCTTTAAAGAATGAATTTTTGTTTTAACTTTAGCATTTTTTATGTAATGGCAGCCGAAGCCGACATGCATCAACTCAGTCACGCGTTAAAAATACTTTCACAAACCGAGAAACAGTTGAGAACGTCTAAAAATCAGACGACATGGCTCACCGTGGCTCTTTTACAGCTTAGCTCTTCCCATAATGACTCGACTGATTCACGGTTAAGCATGAGAACGTTAAACCCGCCAGGTGAAAAAAAAAAAGTTATTCTTTTTTTATTCATTAGGGATTTACTAATTTTTTACCTCTATCGAATGCTTTTAAATCGTACTCGAGTCCCTACTTTTTCCAGAGGGTGAATTTCACAGCACATCATCGACTTGGGAGAGCTTGAAGTGCTCTGTTGCATGCGCTTGTGACGAGGATGAATCCGAAAAAAATCGAACAAATGACGATAAAGAAACTTTCGAGTTGATCTGGTCAAGAGCCGTTGATATTTGCACACCTCGTTCTTTCAGGAAGTTCCTCCGAAAACGTGGGAATTTGGTCGATATTCGTCTCGTGCATGGTACAAAAAAAGATATTTCGCTCTTTCTTGATTATTTTGCATATTATGCATTTTATTTTATTTTTTTTGTTTTCTTGATCGTCAAATGTGTCGACTTTTCGTGTGCAAAAAAGGTACAACAGTAGCCGAATTGGAATTTAACCATCCGGATTACGTGTCGAAAGCTGAAAAATCATGGAAAGTGATAGCAAGTGCACTTCAGCTTGTTCTTGGCTATAACGTCGAGCTAAGAATAAACCTCGCAAATAATGAAACAAATAAGCATTCCACCAAGTCGAAAGGGCCGTACTTCGGCTTGTTCAATTGCTCACGAAAAGTGCATCTCAAAAACAAAAAGTCTCCCTCATCCGAAGAATGTAAAAGTAGTAGTAACAATAATAATAATACTTCAGAAAACTCTGATCCGACTAATACAAACTTAACGAGGGATAAATATGTCGAAACGTGTTCTTCCGAGTACGAGTCCCGAGCAGCGAACCCATGTTGTCATGGAAAGGAGCTGTTCAAGACCATTAGGGGCAAAGATGGAAATGCACTTAGCATTGGGATGATTAGCACGCCCAGAAAAGTCTGCCTGAATTCAGTCAGAACCGAGCCCAAAAGTAAAAACGGGTATGTTTTCAGCCCCTTATCCTGTACATTAATCGAAAAAACTTCAAAACAGTGATAATAATGTTAGTCGTATTAAAGTATTGTTGCGAAACAATGATTTTGTGGGTACATAACTTTCAAAGACTCAAGCTTTTCTTTCTTTTTTTTCCTTTGCTTCAGCTGATAACTTTCAGGTTCAGCAATCTTNCGCGAGTTATTTTTCGAAATGGTTCAAAAAAAAAAAGAAAAAAATCGGAGTCTTGACTTGTAGAAATCCGAATGAATGCGTGCAGGCATGGCAGCTGAGGCATCATCATCCACGAGACGAGGCATTGGTGGAGTACGCTGTGAATTGTGAGACGGCAAAGTAGCAGATCATCACCTGATGTGAACCAAACTTAACTGAACCAAACATTTTGAATGCTTCTCGTTGCATGTCACTGTTTTTGCTCGACTCTTTCGAGTGCTTAATCGATTACGTTGTCATCTGTTCTTGTAGCATTTTGCAGATTTTTGTTTTGAGAAAACAGGATTTGATCAATAGAATGCAGTTCTCATATGATTATTTGTTCTTAAAAAGGTACTGCAAGATAGTTTTTTCTCTTTTACATGTAAATTGGAATTAAAATGATAAAAGAGAAAAATAAAATGGACTTGGATTAGATGCCTAATATGTTGTAAATACAAATTTATTGTGGGGCAAAGTGGGCCGAGTATTGGGCACGAAAAGATGCATTGGGTTGGGTTGCAAATATTGGGCTATTTGCCAGGCCCATGTGTATTGGTTGAGACTAGGCCTATTGCACTTGGTCCATCTGGATATGGAGATTACATCTAGAATTGTTATTGAAAAACTCAATTTGAGTACTCCCTCTGTTTCATTTTAAATGTCGTTGTAGGGTGTCAACTTTTTTGCAAATTAATTATCGTTGAAAATATTATATTCATTCTTACATCTTTATTCTCTTTAACAAACATTATCTCTTATCATTATCTTTAAAAACCACCCATTAATAATTCAAAAACTAAATTTAATAAGATTAAAAGATAAGATTATTACAAAACCCATTAAAATCGTAATTTAGAAGTTTTAAATTAAAACGACATTTAATAAGAAACAGAGGGAGGGAGTATTACTCAAGAAAGTTTGAGTTTGATACGTTCATTTACTTTGAAAAAAAAAATCAAACTCAAAATCAACTAATTATTTATGTATTAAACGAGGGGAATCGAATGTATTTACCAACAACTAGTATTCAACCTGTGCATTTGCACAAATATAAATAAATTATTGTGAGTCTGTACATATAATGATTAATTATTTTTCTTTCACTTTTTTGCAGACCAAATTTACAATTAAAAGAGTTGAAATATTTTATTTTAAATTTCGTTTATCTGATTGGATGTAATGTATATTTTGGTACGTCTTTTATTTGTGAATTATTTATTATTTATTTAGAAATTTCAAATATATTTTTTATTTTCAAAAAAAAAAATTAAATGTAACAACAATAATAACATCTAATCACATTATACGGTCAACACATTATATGGTCAACTGTCATTAATCAAAAGTTTAAAATAATTTTTGTAATTTTGAAGTGATGAGTATTAATTATTTAATGATTAAATGAAAGATTAAATACATCAAAATGTAACGGTTTTTGGAGGGAAAATTGTTAAATTACCACATAGGTAAAATTAAATAGGTTTTATTAAATTCTATTAGCTAGTAATTATATATATATAGATTCAGTTAGAATTAGAAGTTTAATATTTGTTGTACTTATTGGGATGAATTGAGTGGGGTCAAATTTATACGAGTCGAACTTAAGGTCATATTTATGTTTATTTATAAAACAAATCAAGTCAGTTTATTTAACTTAAGGTTATATTTATGTTTATTTATTAAACGAATCAAGTCAGATTGTTTGCAAAATGAATATGAGATCGTATATGAGTTACTCATCATGAACTCCTTCATTAATATGAGAGGCATTTATCTGAATTATTGGTTTTGCACGTACTTTATTTGATTGATTGATTTAAATGATAATTTTCAAAATCTATTCAATGGTTGATTGCTAACATTTATTATAATCATCCAATTAATTTACACAAAAACTACTTAAATTTATAAAATGTAAGCCAATCAACCTAACTTTATATTTAAAATAAAGTCTTAACTATTTGAACACATCGGGTAAAATGAGATAATGGAAAAGTCAAATATGTATAGGATTATATATATATATATATATGTTTGGGGATAAGACAGTGGACCATATTTCTTATTTAATAAAATTAAAATTATGATAATTGCAATTTTTTGGCACTCCTATCTTGTTTGTCCAAACTCCAAATATGCCAGCCCCATTATGCTGTCTCCTCGAAATTCATTTAATAACCTTTTTTCACTTGATAATGCTGATTAAGAATTAATTTCACTTTTCTCCCAATCTCTGATTTAACATTCCATAAATACTTCTACGGTTATTTTGGTAATCTAATACTCACTCCAAAAACCCTAACCGCATCCGTCTCTAGTCACATGAACAGAGGAACCAACGCGAACAGCGACACTTGTTGAAATTGTATAGAACCGCAGGAAAGAAAACAAAAGCGGGTCAAGGGAAAAAACAGTTTCACCCAAATTGTTTTATTTTTATTTATATTATTATTTTTAGAATATGACATTTCATTATGTATATTTATTGAATAAATATGATTGTCTAAGTGTTAGCCTAGCCTAACATAATTTTATGTTTTTTAAATACCGTATCAATTATCATATTCATCTTAGCCACTAGTTCAATCAATAACTAGAGCGTAGCCCGTGCGATGCACGAGATGGTATATTTTTCTGAAATGTTTAACGTGTGAAATATTAAAAATAATATAATTTATATATATGTAACAAAAATAAATGGATTGCAAAGAAGGGAAAAAAATATAAATTATTGAACACTTTCTTTGTGAAGTAAAATTTGTGAAGATTTGATATATTTGATTATGAATAGAAAAGTATGAAATACTACATGCGGACCGTTGAGATAGATGAGAAGATTTACTTAGAATATATAGAATAAATATTGAAATAATGATTTACCTTTTACCTAGTATATATAAAATTAATATTGACATGATGTGGGAAAAATTATGACGAATTATGACATAAATTCGTATAGAAGTTAGTAGAAATATTAAAAAATTAAATTTATTTTTTATTTTTTAAATCCTTACAGTAATTCGTACGCTCCTTTTCATACGCTTAATTTATCAAGTTTACACATACAAATCAAATTAATGCAACTCGAAATATTATATAACAAATAAAATGAGATTTTTTATCTAACATTTAGTATATTGCCGGAAATTTTTTTATAAATCTTATTCTATTTTTATGCACATAGATATTAAAGAATGAGTAAAAAAATTATCTAAATATGTTTAAAAGTATCTAATATTATATGTGTTAACAATGTTACAACCAAAAGACATTAAGAATACGTAAACTATTATATAACATATGTGAAAGTATTAAAATATTTTATATTATTATCGAAAATGTGAAATTACCTCAATTATGTCTAGACTATTTTATAAGAAAAATATATATACTTAAAGTTAGCATACACACATATATATATATCCTTAAAGTTTGCCCAACTAACATGTTTAAAAGTATATACAATTTTATATATAAAAACACGTTTAAAGTTTACATATTTTACAAAAATTAGACTGACTGCTCTCAGTTTATATAAAGTTTATTGCTCTCATATTCGGATAACGTATTATGCATTTAATGAAAGCACCCTACGATACAAATTTATAAATATTAATTAAAATAATTTTCTAAATTATATAAAATTGAAATAACAAAGGTAAATATTACCTGTTCATCATGAAACAGTATATGGAATGCGTTACAGCTCTCCCCTTCGTGATGAGTTTCATAATGCGGGGTGCTCTCAGACGCAAAATAAGTTTGTTTCTTTTGTTAACGGAATCAAGTGTACCCAGCCTGGAAGCAGTTATACTGTATATGTGATGAAAAATTATTCTCTCTATGTTTTTTTCTCTGAACTCATGAATGATGAGTTGTAATGGTGATAGTGAATATCCTTTTATACAATTTTTTATTAACCAAAAGTGATAAGATAATTATGGATTGTATTTGGATAGATAGTAAGTCCCATGATTTTTGCAACGGACAATCAATTTCACATATTTTTTATTAACCAAAAGTGATAAGATAGTTATGGATTGTATTTAGATAGATAGTAAGTCCCATGATTTTTGGGACGTACGGACAATCAATTTCACATGCTTAATTAACGGAAATATCACCATTATTAAGGAGAATATCCATTTGCTTAATTAAAGCAAATTTCATGCTAAATTAACGAAATATCCACTGCATTTTCACGATTTTTCTTCCGAATTTAAAGTAGAATACATAAATAGAAAGTCAAAAGTTAACTCAATTATTTTTAGGTTTCTAAAAAAAGGATTTTTACATCAACCTTTTTAGATATATATAAATAACAAATATAACAGTCAATATAAAAATTAAAAACTAATATAAAAATTAAAAGGTAAATATATATTTATTAAGTTTCACATTTTTCCTATAATAAGATAAAAATAAGACTCCCACTTTCAAATATAAATTTTTTGAAGGTAATGATTAACTTATATTTAACTTTATAATAAAATTTAAATAAGACTTCCAACCGTGGATATAATTTCAATTTTGTTACAATTTTTTAGGATATTATTTTAAAGTATATGTGCTGACCAATAATAGATGATGAATACTACTAGTATATATATATATAATTGTTGGTTCATGAGCATTTAATAAAACCTAATAAATTATATCTATATAGCAATATAACTTTTTTCCTTCAAAAATCATTATTTTTTATTTATTTAACTTCTCATTTAATTATTAGATAATCAACACACTAATCACTTCAAAATTACAAAACTCATTTTAAACTTTTGATTTACTTACAGCTGACCATATAATGTGTTGACTATTTAACGTGATAGATGTTATTGTTGTGGTTACATTTAAATTAACTTCTTTTGGAAAATAAAAAATGTATTTGAAATTCCTAAATAAATAATAAATAATTCACAAAAAAATACATATCAAAATATATATTACATCTAATATGATAAACGTAATTTAAAAAAGTAAATATTCCAGTTCCTTTAATTGTAAAGTTGGTCCGCAAAAAAGTGCAAGAAAAATCCTTAATCATTATATATGCATACAAATAACTCACAATATTTTATTTATATATGTGCAAATGCACAGGTCGAATACTAGTTGTAGTGTAAAAAAATTGACCCAAACTCGAGCCCTTAGCCATCAATGAAACTCGAGTTTAACTCATTTATCAATGTTAACGAATTGAGATCAAATTGAAGCCAAATTTTAACGGGTTAAATTATAAAAAAATTACATAAAACTTATATTTTCGAACTTTATCGAATCAAACCAAATTATACTACACTGATTAACTAAATGAGCTCGACTGAGCTCGAACTTGAGCTAAGTCAAATACATAAAACGACTCGTTTTGTTTAACAATTATAATTATAATTGCTTGTACCATTTTATTAAACANACGTGGCCTGCCTTGGTGAGGTGATGTCGTGTACTCGTAACCGTAGCCTCCCTATTTATTCTCTTCGTCCTCATCCATTCCCCTTCTGTCTCTCACTAGAACTACAGGTTGAGGTACACCTAGAGAGAGAAAATAAGAACATACACAGCGGAGCGTGTTTCTGCGTCTTCCGGCGACCGGAGTTCTATCGATTGCTTCTCAGTCGATACATCCTCTCTTGACTCGAGATCCGAGACAAGAACAGAGGAATTTTGCTGGGCTCGTGAGAGGTTAGGCTTTGAGTGTGCGATTGAAGTGAATCGCGTTTCTGTTTTTTTTTCTGTATTGAAGTGTTCATCTGTTTGTGGATAGGGTTTTGCTGAGATTAGGAGAAAATGGCTAGCGGCGAGGGGTTTCTGACGGAGGAGCAGAGGGAGACGCTGATGATAGCCTCACAGAATGCGGAGGTGATGTCATCGTTGTCGCAGGGGTCCTCGCCTAAATCCACTGGCCCGAAGTCTCCTGGTCGGAACCCGTTTATGCTGTCCGAGCACCAGCATCATGTGAAGGCGCCGGGTGGGGGGCATTCGGCTGCGGTGGGGGGCGTGGCTGTCAGACACGTTCGCCGCTCGCACTCTGGAAAGCATATCAGAGTTAAGAAAGGTAATAGTATTAAGGTTTACTGTTTTTATGCTTATTGTTGAGGGTTTTTGTTTGTTCTCTGCTGGTAACTCGTTTTTAGTGTTTTGATTCTTTATTGATGCTCCTTGTAGTGTTTGATTTAAGTGCTATACCTTTTGTGTATAGTTGTTGGGGATTGGGTGGAGTTGGTGTGAAGTTGTGTGGCTTTTTTGTTTGTTCAATCTGGGAGGAGATCTACTCAACCGGGTTTTAATGATTTAGTTCTTGGCATTGAATATCTATAAGTGAAATGGTGCTGGGTGATATCCTTAGTTCTTAATAACTTTGATATCCTTGATCATGTAGTTTGTTGGTGCTAAATATAGTGTTGTGTGCATACGTATAACGTTCGTCTGTGTAACTTTGTGATATTTCTAGTTTGCAATTGCTTTGGGGTTTACCTTTGGGAGGATTAATGTTAATATGCCGTTGGGCTCAGTAGTCAAACACGCTGTCATACATGCAAGAATGTGACAGCGTGTTCCGTGGGAAATAAATTTGGAAATGTTTTTATTGGTTGATTGTCATCTTAGAATGATTTTATGGGGGCATATGTATTTTTAACTCATTCACTATAACTAATAGCTTCTGTAGTTCTGATTTTGTCTCGACAGATATAAGAACGTAGTTATAAATGCTATGTTTTAACGCTCTTAATTATTTAATTTCTTATATTGTTTGGCATCTTGCCTTATCTTATGTCATTGTCCTAGAATTTGTCTCATCATGTACGAGCGATTAAGTTTCTAAAACTTACGTTGGCTTTCATTTTATGTGGGAGGCACTCAATAATGTACAAAATTATTTTTATTAATGATAATAACGATAGTGACTTATAGAAACCAGAAAAAAGGTGAAAGTGAACAATTGATAACATTCTGATCCAAATGCTTATCTCTTTCTGGTGCTTTCTATAAATGTTCTGCCTTTTCGTAGTGGCCTATTAAATTGTCCTTGTCGTCTTTCTATTAAGGCAAGTTAGGTGGCATGTAATCTACGTAATGCTCCAGGGAAGCCTAATTTACTTGTTAGGTTGGTTTCTATAGCTTGTGGATTACCTAACCTTCAGTTTCAAAGTGATTTGACTGTCTAATCTGCCTGACATGGTCCATTTCAGAATACTTATTTCCTAACTTCATTTTTATTTCAAATAAGGTAAATATAAAATCCACCTGAACTGATTTTGTGTCGTTCTTGTATTATTCTGTGTCTGTATTACCCATATTTCTCATGAAGATTTTGAGTAACCATTTCTATTCTCTAGGAGATAATAGGAATGAAGAGAGAGTGAAACCCTGGAAAGTTACTAGTTTCATTGGAATTGTTTGACTGATTCTGCTTGAAATCAGGGCAACGTGCTCCACATCAAGCTTCCATGTTGATGGTGCTTTTTTGCAACTTTCTTGGCCAAAGAGTCTACGTTCATTTTCTTGTTTGTTATTCTTCTGTAGCTTTACGTACAATTTTGTTTCTACGACCACGTGGTCCTTGCTCAGTTTCCTTATAACACTGGTTTAACCTGGACTGTCACAATAGATGGTGCTGGTGGTAAAGGTACCTGGGGAAAATTACTCGACACTGATGGTGATTCTTTTCTCGATAAAAACGACCCAAACTATGACAGTGGAGAGGTAATCAGTAATCTCTTGTATTCATTATCTTTTCTTTCAACCTGCTTTCGAATCTTCGTCCACACAGGCACACTAATGTTTCCCTGTCGCCTGCACAGGAGCCTTATGCCCTAGTTGGATCAACTGTCTCTGACCCTCTGGACGACTACAAGAAAGCTGTGGCATCTCTTGTAGAGGAATATTTCACCACTGGCGACGTTGATGTTGCTGCCTCTGATCTTCGAGAGCTCGGGTCAAGCGAGTACCATCCTTACTTCATCAAGCGCCTTGTATCTATGGCCATGGACAGGCACAACAAAGAGAAGGAGATGGCTTCGGTTTTGCTCTCAGCCCTTTATGCTGATGTCATAGGCGCAGCACAAATCAGCCAGGGCTTCTTCATGCTGCTTGAGTCAGCTGATGACCTTTCGGTTGACATACCGGATGCCGTCGATGTTCTGGCCCTGTTCATTGCCCGCGCGGTGGTCGATGACATACTTCCCCCGGCCTTCATCACTCGGGCCTCCAAGAAGCTTCCGGAAGCTTCCAAGGGTTTCCAGGCTCTTCAGACGGCTGAGAAAAGCTACCTCTCAGCTCCCCACCACGCGGAGCTCGTCGAGCGGCGCTGGGGTGGGACCACGCACTTCACGGTCGACGATGTGAAGAAAGAAATCACAGATTTACTGAGGGAATATGTCGAGAGCGGGGACACTTCTGAAGCGTGCAGGTGCATCCGGCAGTTAGGCGTCTCGTTTTTCCACCACGAGGTCGTGAAGAGGGCTCTGGTACTGGCCATGGAGATTCGCTCGTCCGAGCCTCTCATCCTGAAACTGCTCAAGGAAGCAGCTGACGAGGGCCTGATAAGCTCGAGTCAGATGGTCAAAGGCTTTTCCCGGTTATCCGAAAGCCTGGACGATCTCGCCCTCGATATTCCCTCAGCAAAAACAATGTTCCAAACCATCGTCCCTCGGGCGGTATCTGAAGGATGGCTCGACTCGTCTTTCGCCAAAGCTGCTTCCAACGAGGTTGGCGGTGATAGAAACCCGGACGAAAACGACGAAAAGCTGAGGCGCTACAAAAAAGAAGTCGTCACCATAATCCACGAGTACTTCCACTCAGACGACATTCCCGAGCTAATCCGAAGCCTGGAGGATTTAGCCATGCCCGACTACAACCCGATTTTCCTCAAGAAGCTAATTACCCTCGCCATGGACCGTAAAAACCGAGAAAAGGAAATGGCTTCTGTCTTGCTCTCCGCCCTTCACATCGAGATCTTTTCGACCGAGGACATAGTCAACGGCTTCGTGCTCCTTCTGGAGTCTGCCGAGGACACGGCCCTCGACATTCTCGACGCATCCGATGAGCTGGCGTTTTTCCTCGCGAGGGCCGTGATAGACGATGTGCTGGCGCCTTTAAACCTGGAGGAAATCCGGAATTTGCTCCCTAGCAACTGCTCGGGTAGCGAGACCGTGACCATGGCTCGGTCACTGATAGGCGCCCGCCACGCGGGCGAGAGGATCTTGCGGTGCTGGGGCGGTGGGACTGGGTGGGCCGTGGAGGATGCAAAGGACAAAATCCAGAAGCTTCTGGAAGAATACGACAGTGGGGGCGCGGTGGGGGAAGCGTGCAGGTGCATTCGAGACCTGGGGATGCCGTTTTTCAATCATGAGGTGGTGAAGAAGGCGCTAGTGATGGCTATGGAGAAGAAGAACGATCGTATGCTGGACTTGCTCGGGGAATGTTTCGGTGAGGGGCTGATCACGATTAATCAGATGAGCAAAGGGTTCAACAGGGTGAAGGACGGGCTGGATGACCTGGCGCTTGATATCCCGAACGCGAGGGATAAGTTTGGGTTTTACTTGAAGCACGCGAGGGGGCACGGGTGGCTGCTGCCTTCGTTCGGTTAGGGTTTTTAAACTTTTTTCTTATAAGAAAAAGAATTGCCAGTGCATGTTTTGATGTTTTCTTGTTGATTTTTTTTACTTTGTTTGGACCTGTTTTCGTTTGTATCTGGGGCGCTCTTCTCTGATGGATCATTTTATGGGTCTCTTGTCGTTTTTATCATGTGTTTGGTTGGATTTTAATGAAAGATGGTGTTATGAATATGCGCTTTGGATCTGTTGGAAGATGATATATTTTCTGAGGTTATTTTGCGGACCTATGAGTTTCAGGTTATGGCAGCTCCTAATATTTTTTTTTTTAAAGGAAGATCTTGCTTTGGAGCACGTTTTGTGGGTTCTAAATCGGTTGAGCCTAGTTCGAACGGATCAAAAAATGGAGCCTGGTTCAAACAAATCAAAAAATTGACAGGGTTTGAATAAAGTTCACTCGAACCAAAAAAAACTGACCTATCTTTTAATCCAAGTTCGTCCGCAACATTAAAGTACTGTATAGTTTATTTATAACTTCTACTTGAAAACTGCAAAATGTTGAAGACTGATTGGAACAAATTGAATCAAGTTATAGTGAGGTTCACGGACTCGTAACACAAATATACACTTGAGTAATAAACACAAATAGTGTTTAAAGACCTCAAAATGCAAAGCTTTAGAACATGAATTAGTCTATAGGAAGCTCTTTTGGGTTGATTTCAAGTACTTAATTGATACAATTACATAAAAATGAATTACTAAAGTATATAAACATAACATGACATCTCATGTCAAGTACTTAATTGATACAATTACATAAAAATGAATTACTAAAAATGGAGCAAAGACAAAACAAAAACCACATGACATGTAAAAATGAATTGACCTTTCTATCTGCTCAATCCCACCATCTTTTTCATCAATTTCTAGATCTTCCTCAACCTCAAAATCAGAATAAACCACATTTCGATTTAAATTTTGTTGAATCTATGAAATTCTTATTAGCTGCCGAATACCCTCTTATGAATGCTACAACGAACCTTTTGTCTCCATAGATCTACTATAAGATGAAACAATTTAATTGTACAGTACTTCTTTTTCTTTTATTTATGGTGCTTTTATTATGTTTTTGGATTTTAATTAGTTAACAATTCTTAAAGATTTTTATTGATATGTAAAGACCAAAAAATGAAGCAATTAATTGCGCATTAAAGCCACACAAATTTTCTTAATATAACGAAATGTTATCAAGATAGAATTAAAATCTTAAATGATCGTGAAATTAAATCCAATTATATAGATATGGAAACAAAAACAAAGTTTTGTTAAAAAGACGAAAAGAAAAAAAAAATATTCAATTGTTGGCCAGGTAATTTATTCTTAAACTTTTGGGGCTACAAGACTGACACTGTAGGATTTAAACTGGCCCGTAAATTGTCCTTCACAATTCATCATTTTCAAAACCCTTTAAATACCAAAGTAACTTTTCGGCCCAATTAGTCAATTTCGACAAGCTAAAATATAATGTCCAGAACCTTTTTTTTGCTGGCCGATGAGTCAATATCGGTCCCAACTAAAATATAATGGCGAAAATTTTTTTTCTTTTGTGTTGCCTAATTAATATAATTTGGCCCAAATGTTTCATTGGTATAAAATGCCTCAAACAATTGGCTCATATCATCATTTATCAACCGATGGTGGCTCCGACTCGCGGATATGTCTAGAGACCCCCTTAGGTGACTTGAACTCGTGACCTTGTCTCAAGTGAAGGGTGCTACCAAATGAGCCACCCTTTCTCGTCAATCAGTTAAAGTTAGGTTTGCTAAAAATGATTGCTTTGTTAATCTGAATAGATTGATGGGATTTTCTGACAAGTATTGATGCTAGTGCTAAAGTTTCTTTTGTATTAGGAGAAATAAAGACTCCAAAGAAGTCGAATACCAAAGCTGAACCATGTAAACCTTGCAATCGTAAGGAGATCTCAATTAGTGAACCGAACAATGTTAAACCAGCTACAGTTACTGCACAAACTTCTCAAAAAGCAGATACAAGTGGTGTGCAAAAGGCTGAGGTAACTCAGGTACATAATTCAGGATAATCACAAACCTACTCAGAAACTTCAATCTAATAAATGCCAAAAGCTCCACTTATCTGACTTTACAACTGCAAAAAATTTGATTTTTACTACCAGATTTTGATTCGTTTTCCTAAGGGGGATAAGAGGGAACACGGCTTCTTGTGCACAGACAAGGTTCAAGCAATTTATGAGTAGGTAGATTCATTAGGCCTTCCTGGTGTGTTGAGAACTACAGGTGATTTCAGCTTTCCCACGAAAAGTATATCGATTATGCCATAAACGATGAAATATGAAAGCAACGGAGCCTCTTATCAAATATTCAAAAGTAAGATTTTTCAACTAGAGATTCTTCTGAAAATCGAAGAACACCTACGCAACCAGAACCATGCTACTAGTATTCAAGGACAAGCAAAAAGGAAAAAAAAAAAAAACCATAGATAATCCCAAAACACAAGCAAAGATAGCAACCAGAGTGATGCAGCAGATAGAGTACGATGGGAAGAAATTTGCAAAGAACACAGAAAGAACAACAGTTCTTTTTCGTTCAATATTATGATAACTGCCACAACAATGAAACCATTCTGTTTTTAATAATACAAAGCCCTCACCACAAAGACTTAAAAGCCCAAATAAAACAAGCCAACACAACATAAATAGACATAAACATAAATGATAGTAATATATATAATAACGATCACACCAAAGGCCAGAGCCGATCATGTATAAGGCATCACAGAGTTAGAATGCACTTAAGCTCGAATAACTGACAGACAGTGCGGAATAAAACCCCAGCACGGCTCTTTGTCAAGCTTGAACTTGAATGACTTCACAAGGCTAGCATTCAACAGGCACTTCTTCTTCTCATGACCTTCTCCCCCCACAACTTCCTTCCTATAATCCTCGAGATTACATTCAGCCACATCCAAAAGCATGTACGCAATCCACGTGTCCTTTTCTACCGCCGTTTGCAAGTGCACCACCTGAAGATGGCGACGCTCCTCGTTATAAACCACATCGTTCTCCATAAAACGCCGTACTTCGTACCTGAAATCCCGAGCGAACGATGATATAGGAAACCAAGAGGCCTTGCTCGAATCAAACACGCTTTCCCTGTACTCCGTCTGCGCCCAAGGGGAAATGTCGTAAGCCCCTGTACCAGCCACGCACAGCTGAATCTCATCATCATCATCATCATCATCACCGCTTACAAAAAAAGGTCCTCCGAAAGGGATGATATTCGCCCCAAAATATAAATCCTCCTTACACCAACCCAACACCGGCACATCGATATCAAATACGAAAATTCCTACAGTGGTTCGGAAAAGCATTTTGGAGTTCGTGAGGAACGTGAATCCTAGTATTTCAATATCGCGCGGCATCCCACGCAGGCTATCCCGTAAAGACGGGAGCTTTCGCCATGGATAGCCGCCCCTTTTTTTGGGATCGTACACCTCGAAGTCGATTTGTTCATCAGGATTATCGGTGATAAAGGGCATCATAGATGAAAATACCACAATCCTCTTTCCATCCGGCGTGGGGGTCGCGAAAGGAAACAATTTGGGGTGCAGCATTTCCGGCGCGGCCAGCAGCACGTCTTTACCCAACGTACCGCCGCCGCCGCCGCCGCCTTTCAGGTAAGGCGATAGATCCAAGGTATATACCGATTTTCCTCGCCTGGGGCCGCCGCCTCTACGGAAGCCCAGCTCGATCATGTACAGAGTCGAATTGAGAACGCAGAAAGTGTGGATGCTGCCGTCGAAAGAGTCTCTATCGATGAGAAACGTGGGGCGAATGGAGACGAACGACTCATCACTAACATCGCCGCCTGCTTCCAGTTGCAGATCGGCGATTATTACGGCGTACGACCTCGCCGCTTTATATGAGTAAGAGCAAACGATGCAGACTTTGGTTGATTTCGGCACCGTAATTGATTGTGCCGCCGCAGTGTCCATGGTTGAAAAACTCTGAGACTTCGAGATCTGAGGCACCGGAGTTGATTGTACCGCCTCAGGGTCTGGTGTCATTTCGAGATCTGAGGAAAGATGAGGGAGTAGCCTAACCTAATCTTGCCTTCGAGAGTGAGGTTTGGGCCGCGCAGCACCTGGCCCAACGAAAATTATTATGAGCAAATAAAGAGAAAATTGCGGTTATACTATAGTGACTTCGTAGGTTTTTACCACAAATTTCACGCATACACACATTACAGTGTTGTGTGTGTGAATATTTGACTAAAATCCCATGGGCTACTACTCCATGGGATAACATCGACTCTACTTTTTTATGTTTTAGAACCAGAAATTCTATGGTGGTACCATAAGCCATGCCACAAGATGAGGTGGCAACATTATGTAGCTTTATTTACTAGATTTATAAACTCCAACATAGACCATAAGCCATGCCACAAGATGAGGTGGCAACATTATGTAGCTTTATTTACTAGATTTATAAACTCCAACATAGACCATAAGCCATGCCACAAGATGAGGTGGCAACATTATGTAGCTTTATTTACTAGATTTATAAACTCCAACATAGATATTATGTGGCTTTATTTAAAGATTTTTTATACCAAAACTATTTTAGAAAAGAATAACCCGTTCCAGTTTCCCCAAATCCCATTTCAATCTCACGACCTAACTCACCGATCCCGTTCCCCCAAATCCACTTCAATCTCACGACCTAACTCACCGACGCCACCGCTATGGCCATAATCGCGCCGACGCTGAGCTTTTTTGGTCCTTTTCCGGCGAATTGGCGGCGGCGGGGGTCTGCGATGGGAAGAGGGAGCTCGGGCTGGACGGCGCTATGTCCCCAAATCCACTTCTCAATTTGTACCTCGAAATCAAACTCAGGGAGAAAGTCGCGGAGCTCGTTGTTGGACATGTCGAGATCGGTGAGATTTGTTGTTGGATAGGTCGAGGCGGAGGAGAGGCTGTGGAGGGTGGAGCTTTCCAGCGGGATGTTGCTGGAGAAGTCGTTGCCGGAGGCGGTTGCTGCGGAGGTCAAGGAGGCGGAGCTGGTCGACGGATGCGAAGGCGTTGATGGAGCCGCAGAGGTTGTGGGAAGGGAGGACGATGGTGGTGACGCTTCCGTTGGTTATGTGTCAATTGTTTTGTGAAATTTTGGTTGGCCGTCGCCAGGTGTGAACATTCTAGTCGCGTGGTCCGTGGTCCGTGGTCCGGGAGCTTAGCATCGACACACGCAGGGTTGACATACAAACAGGGACATTGATGTGGTGCCCCTTTGTCAGCGTCCTGGCGGCTCTCCTCAAGGCGGCCATCCGATCGGCACTCATCCACAGGTCCGTGAAGCCGCCCATCTTCTCGTGTTTTGGGGATTTAGCGCTTGCTATTGGAGAGAATTTCGAGAAGTATCTGATGTATGCGATGTCCATGCTTCAGAGTACGAACGAGTTGTCCGCCCGTGCGATCGAGGCATACTCCGGTATATTTTAGGGGTCCAAGAACTCGCCCAAAAACCAAGATACTGATGACATATTCGTACAATATTAGTTATATGAATTGCAACTGTATTTTTTCTTGCAATTGGATGAAGTTGAGATGTGGGTGTGTCGTTTGTAAACTTTCTTATATTCATATAGGATGAATTATATGAATTTCTTCATACAGGATGAGTTATATGAATTGCTTGGTGAGTTGGTGCAATAGAGGAAATGGGAATCATATGAGATTCATTCTGTGCAGTGGAGTTTTTTGTTTTTTTGTAAGTGTAAAGGGAGTTCATTGATGCTGAAGTGAACTTTTTTTTTTTTTATTTCTTTTTCACAAGCACAACAAAGATTACTTAACATTTCTGATGTATCATTACCATATAATAAGATTTAAATATGGTCCTCATCAACTCAATGAACATACAGTTGCATAAAAGAAGCTAATGCTGTCAACTTAGCCTATGATTCTGAGATCAAATTTTAGTGGACCAATTTGCTACACTTGAATCAAATTACCCAATTGTCTAAATATGAGATCCCTCCTTGCTGCAAATTGTACCTCAAAGCATCTTCTCAACTGATCCAACTTTCCTCAAAGCATCTTCTCAACTGATCCAACTTTCCTCTTAACTGAAGTGAACCTTTAAATTGTAAAACTTTAAAGTTGAATAAAAAAACTCCATAGCTGAATAAAAAATGTTAGCAGAAGGAACCTGTGAATTGTAAAACTCCACAACTGAATAAAAACAATGACCAAAACAATAACATAAAGCCACTTTCAAAAAATAAAAAATAAAAAATCAAACATTATCTGAACAAAAAAAAAAAGAAAAAAGAAACTACTATTTATTTTGTTGACAAATATGAAACTACAAGTCAAAACTCCATTAAGGCCAAATGCTCGTGTAATCATATCCCTCATCTGCAATGTTGATCATATCCCGACTCGCCATTTCTTGACTGTCCTCGACTATGATATTATTCGATAAAGGTGACGGACGATACGGTTCAACTTCATCAGCACTTCTACAAGATTATAAAAGGTGATAAGAGAATAATAATAATAAATAAAAGTTGAAAAAGGATGAATGTTTGGTTCAATAAATCAAGCTCCTCAGATACACTTTCTCCTTGTAAAACTAGTTTAATAATTTTTCAATTTCCAGCATTTTGCATTAATGCTAATGATAAGAATTATTTTTCGTTGTTTCTTCTCAGTATTTACATTCATCATTAATTATAATAAATATTAATTCAGAAAAAAACAACAGAGGAGAAAAAAAAACAGAAAAAATGTAAAATAAAAGCTAGCATAATCTGCAATAAATAAATAAATAAAATAAGTTACACAAATCAGTCACACAATGAAAACATTTAAGTTACCTGTCTTTGCCTTTAATTTGCCTTTAATTTCAGGACATGTAAGAGCATTATGACCAACTTTGCCACAATTGCGACAATGCTTGCCTCCACTTTTAATTGCCTTATCTCGCATACTTAATAGTCGTTTGCGGCCACGAACTACACGATTGGTAGTTGGATCACTTACAAAACCCTCACCTTTGTGCTCTTTTATCGAGCACGTCTCCTGTGTATCATTGGGGGTCACAACTTCATTCTCTTGCATTTTTTATTCCACTTCTTCAAACATTTTGTGTAACAATATAGTAGATTTCTCTGTCAAAGCAGCCTTTTCGATCAACCATTTCCACTTCTCAGATAACCCTCGGCTACGCTCTATATATCCCGCGCTTGGTTGATTGGAGAAGTGAGTGTTTGTAATGAAATTGGTGATCCTACCTCTTGTGTCCAACGAGACAAAATATATTCTTCTGGCAACAACTTTATTTGCATAACCTATATAAAAAACAACATTAAATAAACTGAGATGCATATATAATTATGTTATAAATCATTACATACCATAAATTAACAAAAAGAATTACCTGCATCATATATAGCATGTGCCTACATGGAATCCCCATATCATTAAATTTCTGGCAACTACATGAAAGAAAGTTCGTGGAAACATTTTGTGTCACCCGATAAGTTTTATCCTTCAACTCCGATCCACTAAATGGGAACACTTCATGGACACAAACTACCTCATTTTTTTCAATGAGTTTACTGATGTACTCTGGCAAAACCTTCAATTGTTCTTGAAACTTTTTAAATATTGTCCTCGTATACCTTGTCGACAACTGCCACTCCATTGGTTGTGTAGAATTCAATGACGGTTTTTCATTTTTGTCGGCATGGTCTAGTAATAACGTTTTATGCCTTTGCCTCGAAATTGCATTCCTAAACCGCGTAAACACATCATTGAGGGAGCAGTCACTGCTCAAATATTTCTTAAATAAAGAGTGATTGCTTTCAGCACGTTGTGAGGATGACATTCCTGCTGAAAAAATATTTTTCAAATATGCAGGGATCCACATTGCCCGAATAGTGTACATATCATTCACCCATTTATTTTGACTCAAAGAGGTAGTACTCATCAATTTTGACCAACGGGACTCAAACTCCTCCGGATCATCCGAGTCCATGATAGCATGCACCAATTTAGTTTTGTCATCTCCATGCATGGCGATATTTATTTTTTTCGGAAACTTGGAAAGTATGTGCCACAAGCAAAGTCTATGCACAGTGTCTGGAAATACCTCATGAACTGCCGCCGCAATAGCCGCATCTTGGTCAGTTATAAACATCCCCGGTTGACGTTTTTCAGGCATCGAATTGAGAAACTGAGAAAATAACCAAGAAAATGATTCGATTCGTTGGTTACTCAAAAGACCACAGCCAAAAACTATAGTCTGGTTATGATTATTCACTCCAACAATAGGGCAAAGAAACATTCCATATTTGTTGGTGCCAAATGTCGAGTCAAATACCACCACCTCTGGAAAACAACAATAAGAGTTTCTTGCATGCGCATCACGCTAGTAACAACGATCAAATGTCTCACCAGACTCATGAGTTTCATAAGCAAAATAGAAAGACTCGCATGTTGTCTTCTCCGTCTCAAAGTGGCCAATTAACGTTTCAGCATCATGTCCAGTAACCACATTTTGTAATTTTGAAGCATTGTTGTACAAGTCTTTTTCTAGACAACCTATTTTATCAGGACCTCCAGCATCACTTTCTAGTACCCTCCAGAGATCAGATGTTCTCAAATTGGCATTTCTAAACTCGACAGCAAGGGACCTTATTGCAGGTGAGACATCCCTATGAACTCTTAAAGCGTGCACCTTGCTCGGACTGGTAAGAGGATGATTGTGTTTCTCATTAAATTTCAAAACTCTCCAAAGTTGTTCATGTTTTTTCCAGCTTACAGTCATCCTAGCCAAACACTTGCATCTGACATCTCCTCTTTCCCGTTCTCCTGTTCGTTGAACAACATGCTTAATTTTGTCTTGGTATCTCATATTCTTCGTCCCTTCTTTATAACAGACGAACATTTTCCATATGACTTCTTGATTGTGGTTTTTCCTGTCATTTCTTTCTCTGACGCTAAAACCAGCTTCTTTGGAATAAGCAATATAGAAGTCTTTAGCTTCATCCAATGTTTGAAAACTCTAATTTTCATGAGGAATTGATGCGAATGCAACCTGTGGAATATAATTACTATTGGCTTCACAGCCATCTGAGATTAAATATGAAAAATCAAGTCATAAAATTGTTCCAATTTATTAAATTGATCAATATATAATTGTGACTTACCAGCTAAACTTTTGTTAAGTTGCTTATCAAATGACCGACCAGAATCCTCATCGTCTTCATCTCTAGATATGGAGTGCGCCAGAAACTTTTGCATCGACATTAGGTAAGCTGAGTAAAAAAAATATATAATAATATAGAACTATGATTAAATCAAAGTAAAATCATTTTTATTCTTCCAAGATCTTTTATAAAAAAAATCAAAAGTTATTAATATACTTAACATGCCATTACATCTGCTTGTACCTGGATAAACCCAATAAGAAAATAACACAAGAACATACTTCTGAGTGTATCAAGTTAAAGCAAATATGAAAAGATGGAAACACCAATGGTAACAAAGTGGCACCTGAAAGTCCATGGTTACACTTACAGGTTTTGCAGGCCAAAATGAGAGGGCTGACAGTGATTTAAAGTAGATAAACATATAATCCACTTTCATCGTTACATTAATCAACAAAAGTCTGATGCTAGGTTCTCGATCAGAGTAAAAACCAAGACAATTAAAACATCCCTACCACCCAAAATAACACAAATAGACAAATTTCAATGCACATGGGAGAATATCAACATAAAGCAGTGATTTCGACAAGCTAACAACCCGAACTATGCTTCATAGTCTATTCTTTATGAGTTTTTAAGTGAGTTTGTGGTTTGGAATAAAGAACATCACCACACACAAATTTTGTTGCTGGCACTGTTATATTTGTTTGAGATGATACCTCCTCTTCATCAAGTTGTTGCTTGACATTAAAAATCTTCTAAAATAGAGAAAGCTTTTGGAAATGAAGAAAAAGAAACAAGTAAAACCTCTGCATTCAAAATAATGAATTTTATCACACTTGAAAATTTCATTAATCTTAAGAAGGAAGGAAACTCACAGATGAGTTACAAAAAATGCACTGCAGAGAAACTCCATATTAACCTCTGGAAAAATCAGTTGAAATATACTGATAGAAAACGTAAAAACTACTGTGAGCTCTAACCATTGAGTAAACATATGCATATAGGGGAAGAGTTGGAGACACACAAGACACAATAACAGCGATGTCTGTAAGGCTGATTATTTTACACTGAGTCCGTATTTTTTTTTTATAAATGATGATGTTAACATGATATCTAATAGAGCGTACAGTAGTTCTTGAATGAATCGTCATATCAATTGATGATGATCACAGGATATCAACAGGCTTATCAATTTTTATCGTATTGAATGTATACTGATATGTGGGCATCTTTGATCAAATAATCAGCCCTTTTAGGAGGAAGTTAATATTCTATTCCAGATTTTTTTTTTTTATTTCTTTCACCATAATTGTTTTATTTTTATGGAAACCTAATATCTATGTTGGAATTTATAAATCTAGTAAATAAAGCCACATCGTGTTGCCACCTCATCTTGTGGCATGGCTTATGGTGCCCAAAGCTTTGGAACACGAATTAGACCATCTCCAGCCCTTATCTCTCTCTAGCGCGGACTTTACTCTACTCTAGAGTAGAGTGAAACATTTGTCTCTAGTCCTTATCTCTACATTTTACTCTACATCAAAAATATTATCTTTTTATTCATTATTATTTCAAATAAATTGATATATATATATGTGTATATTTAATCGTATATAAATGTTTACTACTCAAATAATAATAATGTATTTTATTTATTTTTATTTAAAATAAATTGGTATAGATATGTATATTTAATATTACATAAAATGCTTATTACCTAAATAAATAAAAAGTACAAAATTATTTAGCATAAAAAATACATTGCACAGAGTTACTTAGTATAAAAAATACATTTACTAATACACATTATACAAAAATTTATCATTAATATTACATAAAAAAACAAAAAAAAACTGGCGCAAGTGAACAGAAAAACACTGTTCATGTATCTGATATAGCGCTGGATTCTAGCATGGGACTGGAGTGTACATACAGGAAGTTCATCAAAATAGTGAAGTTATGATTTCAGCTACCAAGGAAAATATATAGGCTATGTTTAGTAAACATAACTAATAAGCTAACTTATAGCTTATTTGTAATTTTTTAGCTTATAGTTTATGACTTATAGCTGAAAAGTTAACTTATATGATAAAAGTGTTTGGTAAACTTAGCAGATAAGCTAGTTGAAATAAAAAATTCAACTAGCTTATTTGAAAAGCTACCTAAAGTAGCTTATGAGATAAGCTCGAGCTTTTTAAAAAAGTTCGTCCTACCAAACGAGACTTAATTAAATACAAAGAACTTATAAGCTAACCAAATAACCTATAAACTAGTTTATTTGGCTTACCAACACAGCCTAACTTATCCTAAAGAGGGAAATGGAAATGGAACTGTGAAAAGTCCATAGTACCCTTCTCCACTACGGATACCTATTTCACACTTTCCCCAAATTTTTTTTAGCACAAATACCATTTTTCCCATCTCCAAATTTCCAAAAAACCTCTGCTAGAAAACAATAAAACTAAAATGAAAAAGTAAAATAAAGCTCCAATTTTCTTCCTTCTGACGAGCATGTCCGGGCCTCACCCTGCCGCCGGTTCCGAATCTCTCGGTGGAGATAGCTCTATGAAGCCTCCACCTCCGCAGAGACCGTTTGTCATGGCTGACCTGAACGTTGACCCGCCTGAAGCAGAGACCGACGCTTTTCCTTCTCCGTCGTCATCTGCTCCTATTTCGAGGTTTTGCTTTAATTTGCATTTTATGAATTTGGCTGACTTGTTGGTGTAATGGCTACAAGAAAGATAAGGAAAAATAGTAGCATATTTGTGCCTATCGAAATTATGTGTAGCCTAGAGCACAATTCATCTCTGCTAGTACTGTCTGTATGGTTTGTGGCAGTTTTCGCTCGCTTGGTGTTTTTATATGAATATGTATGAATTATGTGCACTGAAGTTTGTGGTGGTATAGTGTAGCTGAGAATGAGCAGAAAGTGAGTAAAACAACTATCATTGAACTTTGGTGTACGATTGTTCATTTCAGGTCAAGAGTGAGCTTTAGTTCTGTTTGTGGTTGGCTTACTTGGAGCTTTTGTTACGATGGGATCCAAAATCCATGAACATATTGAAAAATCTCAAAAGCTAGAAGCATTTGCTCTGAAAAATTTTAGACTGTTTAGAAGTGCAATAGAGTCGTTGGACGTGTCTTGAACCCCATGTGTAATGTTAAATAAGAATTGGTCTCTATTGCCTCTATAGACTTATCCAATCTTATTCCAAAATGCATGACTCGACTCTTTTACTCTAAGTACTTATACTTAGAAGTGAATGTTTTCCTTTCTTTCATGTCTGCGCAATTTTCCCTATCTGTTATCATGGAAAGACTAAGTTTCTGTAGTGACCGTAAGGAACAGGTTCTTTTGATATTAAATATTCTTTGTGTCTATCGAAATTTCGATTCGGGCTGCGGGAATGACTATCTTAATTCCTGGTGGTGGTTGACTGAATTCCTAGGATAACTACTGATGAGAAAATTATAGAGAAAACGAGCTTGACGGACAAAGATGCTGAGGTAATGGAGGTGGAGGCACCCCAGTCGAAAAGAACCGTAAAATGCCGTTCAAAGAGCGGTAAGGTGGAGTATCCTCCTGACAGCGGTGGAGCTGAAATAGATGCGGATCAAAATGTTCAAGGAGTTGCTTCTTCTCGTGAGGAAAAAGTTAGCAGCATAAAAAATGTGAGATTTATTTCACACCTCTTGTATAATATCACTACTAGTCCTGGGTAGAGACAGGAAGAAAATAAAAAACTGGGTAGAGTCTCTTAAGAACCAGTCTCACAGAAGTCCTTCAGTTCATTTTCAATGTCAGTTTTTCTATAAAGAATAAATAGAGAGAAGATAGTAATTGAAGTTCCACCACAATGTTATAAGCTAAAAGTATTGATTGATCTAAGTTTTAACATTTTGCAGATAGCCAAAAGTAGTTTGAATATGTACACTATTATTCCCCTTTTTAACTGTGAATTCATTTATTATAAAGTAAAAGGTGGCTGATACATGACATTCCTAACATGAACTCTAATTGAGGAACGTACAATAATTTATGTCACGTGTTCGAGATCACGCAGATTTGTACGACAATTAATGAGTGTGCATGCTTCGTAGGTGAGCCTAAAATGGGGATTGGGTAGGTTTTTTTATTTTCCGATTATAAGATGTTTTCGTAGTAGATTAAATGTAAAACATTTTGATGCTTGATACAATTCTCAGGGACTCATTCATGTTGCAAAGAAGATGCCAAAGAATATGCATGCTCATTTTGTACTTGGTTTGATGTATCAAAGAATGGGTCAACCTCAAAAGGTACTGGGTTAAATATTCATATCATCGTTTTAAACTATTGAACCCTGAAGCAATATATTCAACTTATGCATTGTCTAGGCTATTTTGGCCTACGAAAAAGCAGAAGAGATATTGCTTCGATCTGAAGAAGAAATTGACCGACCAGAGTTGCTCTCTGTGGTTCAACTTCATCATGCACAGGTAGACAACATTTATTGCTAAAATATGATGAGTCCATATAAAAAAATATTAATCCTACTTCTTTTGCCGTGGTTGGTTCAGCTTCATCACGTAGTAGTGGAAACATTCACAATGCTCAAAATCATAGTATTGAGTTCATTTCTCCTTTTCAACTAATTAACCCAGTTGCTTAAATTTCTATTTCCTGATACTTGTTTAATTTTGTATGACACATCCAGTGTCTATTGTTAGAAAGCTTGGAAAATTGCAGTTCCGATAAAGAACTCGAACCCCAAGAACTAGATGAGATTTGCTCCAAGCTAAGGGAATCGATAGAGTCGGATGTTAGACAAGCATCTGTTTGGAACACGTTAGGTTTGATACTTCTTAGAACCGGCCGCTCACAGGTGCGAACACAATGAACTTCTCAGTACATACCGACTTTATATGTATTGTAAGTGATTTATATTTAACATGCTCCTGATCCTTCTATAGAGTGCTATATCTGTATTTTCTTCATTGTTGGAGATTGCCCCTGACAACTTGGATGGCCTTGGAAATCTTGGGATTGCCTATCTTCAAGGGTAAGAAGGATATGTACTCAAGAAAAAGTCATCCAAGATAGTGAACATAATGCAATATTTCCATAACTATGAAAGTCCAGGGAAGCAAATGGCACAGAAACTGACCATTAAGGAAATTCTTTGGTCTTTATACAATGCTAATTTGGCAGTTTTTTATGACTTTTTTCCAGGGGGTACTTGGAAGATTCAGAAAAGTGCCTCCAAGATTTGCTTATGAAGGATCAGAACCATCCCTTAGCTTTAATAAACTATGCTGCCCTACTTTTGTGTAAGTATGGCTCAGTTACTAAAGGTGAGGACATTAATCATAACAAAATTTTGGGATGTTTTGCATTTCCTGTTCTATATAGATGCTTTTGGGAACAAATGGATAGATTGTACTTTCAATGCCATATAACAAGCATTATTGAATGCTTCAGATTTTTTACTTGACAGTTTTCAATTTAGAAAACAGCAGATTACAGAACTACCCAACACTTGGTCTAATTTAAAAAAGAAAAAATAATTGTCTTCTAAGGTTACAACAAGTCCCCAGAAAAATTTGTGTGTTTTACAAAAGTGCACCCTGAAGATGGATATATCTATGAGGTAATTACAAACATTAAGAAGGTGTACTTTGAAAAATACATCAATTTCCTTCATTTCCTTCTTTTTTCTTTTTTAATTAGGCTAAACCTCTGGGTTGGGGTTTGTAGTTATTCCTTAAAAAAAGATGTACTGAATCCACGCATGATATGTTTAGGTGCTGGGGCTGCAGGCGCTGCTCAGAATTCTGAGGATCAGGTGGCAGCTGCTGATGTTGCTAAGGAGTGTTTATTAGCAGCCGTTAAAACTGACCCTAAAGCAGCTCATATTTGGACGAATTTGGCCAATGCATATTCTTTGATGGGTGATCACAAAAGTTCTGGAAAATGCTTGGAAGCGGTATTTCCTAGCTTCTTTCTAATATATAAACCCACGCTTAAGTATTCCTGCTTTGTCTTCCCTTGAGAAAAAATTACTGTTTGGTTTCTTGTAAGTCACATTTTACATGTTAAGACGAATACCCTCCTTATCTCCTATTTATTCACTTATTTTTCCTTAACTCTCTTTTTGTTTCCTCCCTCTCTCTTTTTGTTGCTTTTAGTTGTTGTATGTGTTTGATTGTAAAGATTCTGAAACTTTGTGCTATTATTCTCACCTTAAACGCTATGCTGTATATTGCAAATCCCAGGCTGGAAAGTTGGATCCAAATTGTTTAGCCACTCGATATGCTGTTGGGGTACACCGAATAAGAGATGCTGAAAGGTTCCAGAACCCCAACGAGCAGCTCACATGGGCTGGAAACGAGATGGCTTCAGTACTAAGAGAAGGAGATTCCACATCCACTGAGCCCAGCATAGTGTGGGCAGGACTTGCTCTGGCCCACAAGACCCAGCACGAGATTGCAGCAGTATTCGAGATGGATTCCAACGAATTATCGGAAGTTAAAGAACGTGCCATGTACAGTCTAAAGCAGGTATTGTTTGTATTATCACCTTTTAATGTGGTTTATTTATCATCTCATTTTCACAGCTGTGATTTGGAGAATGGAAAATGGAGTTGATGGGTTTTGAGAAACTAAATTGATAATTTATTTAGGTGTGATGAATTAGATTTTTGTTGTACAGAGAAACAAAAACTTGAATACACCTTTGTAGAAAAACTGTGTGTGTGTTTATGTGTGTGCCTGTGTATTTCGCAGTCTTATAGCTTTGAAATAACCCCTACCTTTGTTGTCATGTATGTAAAAACTTGTCTTGAGGGGCTAATATAAGTCTAGTACAAGTACAGTGCTGATATACATTTCGCAAACAATAATCAGGCAATAGGAGAAGATCCGAATGATGCTGTCCGGTGGCACCAAATTGGGCTTCATTGCCTCTGTACACAGCAGCTTAAAATGTCACAGACATATCTCAAGTCGGCAGTGGCTCGTCTCAATGACTGCGTTTACACATGGTCAAATCTTGGTAACTTGAAATATGTTCCAACTTTTTGTCTCCATCGTACGATGTGTTTTATTGATTAAATATTCTTCCCTCCGGTTAACTTCTCTTGCTCTTCTTTGGGAATTCGTATGAATACTACCCTATAGTGTTGGTTTGTTACAAAAAGATCAAAGGTGTGTTTCGCCATTACTGCCCACAAACAAATGGAAGAGGCTTTGACTCAGTGTTAAATTAAATATAAGCAAAAAAATGACATTTTTTTTTTCACAAATGCAGGGCGGTGTTTGAAATGTTTTCCACGTGTGAGCTGTAGTGTACAAGAACCAAAAATCTTCTTCTTTTTTTTTTTTTTTTGNTTTTTTTTTTTTTTTGTTGTATTTAGTTTGCAATTCATTATCATTCTACTTAACAGTTTTGTTTATTCTTTTATATCAGGTATCTCACTTCAGCTATTGGAAGAGTCTTTACAAGCTGAACAAGCATACAAACATGCCTTATCAATAGCCACATCACAACAAGCCCACACTATATTTACCAACCTCGGCAACTTCTACCGGCAGTTGAGAAAATTCGAAAATGCAAAAGCAATGTTTAGCAAGGCTCTCGAGCTGCACCCTGGTTACGCACCCGCGTATAATAATCTCGGTCTCGTGTTCGTGGCTGAGGGTTTCTTTGAAGAAGCCAAGTTTTGCTTCAACAAGGCAATCGAATCGGATCCGTTTTTGGATGCTGCCAGATCTAACTTGACCAAAGCCGATGGCATGTCCAAAACGGACACGAACCTTCGTTCGTGTCGAATGTCCGAGTAGTTTGTGTGCTACTGAAGGTAAATATAATATCTTTCAAGTATGTTCTGTTATGTTTTCAATTTCAAGCAGTATCTATTTTACACAAAAGGGCAAAACAGTTAAAAATTGGATCAGTGAAACTTCCATCCTCCAAATTTTTGTTCTGATGGGTGTGTAAATTAAGTAAGCATGATTTTAGAGAGGAGGCATTGGTGTGGTGGTGCATTGTATAGGAAAATGAAGGGTGGGGATTTAGAAGAAACAAACATTTGATTTTTCGGATGATAATTTGGTAAAAAGATTTCAAATTATAGTCTAGGTTAATGATGATACTCGTTGGGATTATCATTTTATGAATCTTGTGAGGGACAATAATTTGACTGGCTTTGATAGATGATACAGAATTGCAGATATTTCTTGTTACATTTTGGTGTTTTATTTTGTTGAATGGATGACATATAATATATGATTTGTTTTATTTTCATATTTTATTTTATTGAATGAATTACAATTGCGGAATATGATGTCGTATTGTACATGTATCATTCGTTCTTTGAAATAAAATGATGAAATTGCGTATATATTGTGTCAATGGAGATCTTGTTTGGAATCAATCAAGTTCGATCCTTTTCATATGGACATTGTAGAAGCCGGATTTTATTTATTGGATCATAAACATTTATACGTACATTCATTCGTACGGACGTGTGTGACGATCCAACCATTAAATCTCTCTGGCTAGTAGCATGAAATTTACCATAAATTTAATGAGTTTACAATTGAAGCTGGTAAACGACACGGGCGCGAGCGCTCGTCATCTTAGCTTGACTCGATTTGTTTGATAAACTAATAAAACAATAACTCGTTTAAAGCTTGTTTTATTAACGAATCTAGTTCGGCTCTTCTTGTGAATGCTCGAAAACAATAATTTATGTAATTTTTGTATAATTTGGCTTGTTAATGTTGAAAATGAGATCAAATTCGACTTGGATTTGTTAATTGTTCACAATTGAGCTGGAAAATGATTTTTCCAATCAAATCAATCTAACTGTTTTAAAATGCTGCTCATTGTCCTAGTCTTAGTTTTTTGCTTCCATGTGCAAACATGATACAACTCGATCAAAAACAAAAAACCAAAAAACCACTCTTTCCCATTTGTAAATGGCTGTCTTTTTTCTCTTTTTTCTTGAATCTTCTTCAACCTCTTGTCAGTTGTCACAAATGTCAATTCCACCCACATATATAATATATTCCTTCTCATCCAACACGCGTTTTTGGGGCCCCTTTTGTTCTTTTCTGTGCATAGAATAATCCTCCTTTTCTCATGCAACAACACCGCCGGAAAAAAATAAAATCCCCCGAAATCCACCGGTAATCGCCGCCGCCGCCGCCATGAAAGCCGCCGATCTCCAGAACCCGCCGTCCCTCCTCCTCAAACCCCTCCTCCTCTTCGTCTTCCTCCTCTCCCTCTCCTTCATCGCCTTCCTCTCCCTCCAAACCCCGTCCAAAACCACCACCATCGCCACCGCCGCACCCGAAAGCCTCCCGCCGGATCTCAAGATCCGGCCCGGCTACACCTCCTACGACGCCTACCTCCAGCGCCAGCTCAACAAGACCCTCGACCCCCGCCTCCGCCGGATCTGGACCACCCGCGACTGGGACCGCAAGGTCGCCGTCTTCTCCGTCTTCTTCGACAGCCTCAAGCGTCGCTCCTTCCTCTCCAACGCCTCCCGATCCCTCTGCATCGGGGCGCGGGTCGGGCAGGAGGTCGCCGCGTTGAGGCGGGTCGGGGTGCCCGACTCGATCGGGATCGACCTCGTGCCCCGCCCGCCGCTCGTCGTGAAAGGCGATTTCCACCGGCAGCCGTTCGCCGACGAGAGCTTCGACTTCGAGTTCTCGAACGTGTTCGACCACGCGCTGTACCCGCGACGGTTCGTCGGGGAGATCGAGCGGACGCTGAGGCCCGGCGGCGTCTGCGTGCTCCACGTGCTGGTTTCGAAGCGGGCCGACAAGTACTCGGCCAACGATCTGTACAGCGTGAAGCCATTGGAGGAGCTGTTCGAGAAATCGGAGCTGGTGGAGCTCCGGGAGATCGACGGGTTCGGGTTGGATACAGAAGTGGTTTTCAGGAAAAGGAAGGGTTCCAAAATAAATAAGTAAAAGTTTTTTTGGGTTTGTTGAGTAAAAATGGGTTAATTGAGGGGTGTTATTTGGATTTAAACAATTTTTTTTTTTCTTTTTTGAAGAATATATGTTGAGAACAAACATAAATTTGATTTATTTTATTTTTTTAAAAAAAAAAAATGTTGATGAGGGTTTGTTTTGTTTAGAATTGGGGTTAGTGCAAATGTGTATAGTTCATTAGATAAAACAAACTACTTATTTGTTGATTACTTTTATTTTGGTTATGTATGTAGTCATTCATTTGGGTTGTTTACATCTCAATTGCTTGAGTTTGACTCGTTTTAAGCCAGTTCATTTTTTGACTCGTTTCATGTCATATAAACGAAATGGGCTTTAATTTAATGTAACATTTGTATTTCAAACAAATCATTTGATATATGAGACTGAGTTTGAATTTAACTTACAGTAAAATGATCTCAATTTATGTTGGTTTGATAAAACAAGTAGAGATTGAACTCAAAATATATTAAAAGAACAAATCTTTAATGTGTGGGTCTATTTTCCAATTATTATCTTGAAATCTTGTTTGGAAACCTTCTTTATGTCTCTCCATATTTATGTTCCTTATTTAATTGTGTCACAGCAATTGTGAATTGTGATACCATTAATTAAGTAATGTGGTCCATGTGCTATCAATTTTCTTGGCTGGAACTCAATTATTTTTCATAATACGTGTTTGTCTTTACCTTTATTGTTTTTAATTCATAAAAGTAGTGTACACACCTACTCCTGCAAAAGAAATAGAGTTAAGCTCATGTTTATTCAACAAATTCTTGGTTTGCCTTAGGCATGTCAATCCTGAAATTTTTATTTTTTAAATTTTTAATAAAATTGTATGTTTATATTATAAATGTTGTACTTCTTTTATTTATTTTATATAGTATAATATTTAAATTTAAGAGTATGCATTCACTCTAGTGAATTGGAATGACATAGTACCAATTCAACAATGTCCATCCAGTAAGAGAAAAAAAAATAAAAAATAAAAAAAACTCATCTTAGCCTCCTTAATTAGTCTTATACTTCATTCCTTTTCTTGAGGTAAAAAATAAATAAATAAAAAACAAACAAAAACTAAGATTGAAGATGTATTGTTTTTCCACCTTGAATTCTTTGCATTTTTTTTTAATTGTTTTGATATTTTTCGATGCCTTCAACAGTAAATATAAACTTTTGTCATGCTTAATGGTTAGCATAAAGTTTGACATAATGCACACGTGATAAGATTTTGTGATTTTACTCAAATTAAATTAAAAATTAACAGTTTCTATATTTATACATCATTTATCTCATTAAAAAAATTACATCAAAATAGCATAATTTCAAAGGAAATTTTCCCTTTCATTCAACCCTCACAAAAGATAGGGGCATTGTTGAAAATTTACGAAATTAGAAGGATAAACACGTCATTAGGAAATGAAGAACCTCCAACGCCACTACAACTGAGAGTCGACAACTGTGTTTACCGATTAGGGTTTAAGCTGCCTTCAAGCGCTTGTCCATTCGAAGGTAACCCGGCTTTGTTGGTGCGTTTTGCAGTTTTCCTTTGAGTTTCTCATAGAAAATGCAATCGGCGTGCGGTAAGCTCCGGCAGGCTGCGAAGCAAACGCTCAACCATCCGAGGTTTGTCGAGCTCAGAAATTTTGCGTCTTTGTCTTTTGAATCGAAATCGAACTCTCTGCGCTCAGGTCCCCGAACAGCATCTTATCTGGTACGAGATTTTGTTTCTTCTTTCCGGTGATTGCTTATTGGTTATTAATTTGTATCTTTTGGTGAGTTACTGTGTTGTTAGCTTGTGAAAGGTATGAAGTATTGGAATGCTGTAAAATGTGTTCAATAGTTGGTTTTGCTTGTTAAATTTTTTGGATTTGATGTTGTTGCAAACTTGTTGCTACGAGTGATCCTTAATGCTGCAATCTTTAGCTTAAAAGCCCTTGGGGAAGTTTCTTATACACTTCTGTGTTCTCCATAAAGAAGTCAAGGTGGACAAGTGAATGAGCTGAGATGAGCTTTAGGATGTTTGGGATTGGGCAGACCTGAGTTTTGTGTTACGCGTAAAGAAGTTAAGGCGACAAGTGATTGAGCTAAGATGAGCTTTAGGATGTTTGAGACTGGGGCGGACTTGATTGCGATCCTTGATTGAGTGTCAGTTTTGTTTCTTGGTTTTTTTTCAAGTTTGGAACTTGATATTATTTTGGTTGTCAGATGTGTCAGTACCGATTTATCATTGGATATGTTAGTGCAAATTTATTTGTTGTGCTTACTATTGAAATGAACATGTAGGACTATTATGTGTTAGTGTAGATTTATTTGTTATATGCTTACTTCGGTAGCGTAAACAAAAAGAGAGAAAAATGGAAGAGGAGGCTGGAAGTGTATTACGTCCACAAATAAATGAAAAAATGGAAAAAATTAAAAAATGTCATCTTGAATTTTAATTGTTTGTCTTGTTATATATTTGATAATTTGTGCGAGAAATTGTACAGTTCACATATTACATGTCGAGAGTTTCTGAAGTTTTCATTTTTGTCACATGCATTGATATTAATTACCTTCTGGATTTTATAGTGCAATTTTTTTCTCTGTTTGGTTCTCATTATAACAGTGTTCTCCTGCTTTAGGACAAAAATTTTGGCCCAAAACCTTATACACCATCTTTTAAAAGATATGGTCTAGCTTCAATGTTGCCATCTTCTGGAGGACAAACTTCGAGTTTAGATCGCTCAGCTGCTATAACATCTGCTTGGCCAACTAGAAATATTACAACATCAACCTCTACTCCTAATGATGCTTCTGCTTCTGCTTCTCCTTCTCCTTCTCCTTCTCCTTCTCCTGATGTACCCAAGCGCATCAAATTCAAGAGGCTCGATAAAACAGCAAGGCATATCATGCAGGCACAAATTTTATTTTTTGTGTAACTCTTTCCGTTGCATTCTTTATCCTCAATTCCTCATGATATTAGGACATTCTCTTTTCCTTATATGGGTTTATTTGCTTTCCAAACTGCAGATAATTGATAAAGAAGCCGTTGAGGAAGTGAAAACAAACCGAGAAATACCTGATATAAGGCCTGGTTATATTGTCCAGATGAAAGTGGTAATTGATATCATCCAACCCCCCATTGGAAAAAGTTATTTGTATTTTGCTTTCTTCCTACTGATTGTTTTTAATTGTTTGATTGTCGTGATCTTATTATCACAGGAAGTACCGGAGAACAAGCGGCGTGTTTCAGTTATAAAAGGGATTGTTATAGCTAGACGTAATGCTGGTCTAAATACCACTTTCAGAATAAGGAGGCTTGTTGCAGGAGTTGGCATTGAGTCTCTCTTCCCACTGTGAGTTCTCATTCCATTTTATGCTGTGCAGTGCAATCAGTGCTATATTGTTTAAAGCCATTTTGTGCGTATGCTCGTGCGTGCTTGCCCTTACTCTATATAGTTGCACAAAAACTCTAAATTTTGGTGATTTCTTGAATTCTATGATATAAACAACGGAAAATGCTAATAAGGATCCATCAAATCGTGTATAATTGGGGTTGTTCTGAGGTGGGATTATTGGAAATGTTTTACCATTGGCTGCTAAACGCATTGGCTTGATTTACTTATTTAACTAAATTATGTACAATTGCAAAATATACCTTAACAAACAACTATGATACTTATACTTAAGATTTGTGTTTCACTGCGGTGCAATTTTTATATTAGGAACAAATATATAGATAGTATTTGGAATTTTCAAAATATTTGGACCTAACCTAACTAAACCACTTATTTATTATAACCAGACTTGAACACAGGAATCAGCCAAGAAAAAAGGCCTATTAGGTTTCTTACTGTAACCATCTTATTTATCTCTTGAGTTGCCTGCAAATTATTTTCTTGATTTATTCATCATCATTGATTAGGAGAATAATGAATTCATAATGTTCACAAAAAACGGCCCAAGTGCTTAACTTTCATCATCTCCGAATCCTAAAACAAAGTTCCAACAAAACTTGATTACGTCTAGTTATGTAATATTACAATTACTGCATTTTCCGGTGATTAACCGGCTTGTCAGTTACTTTCACTGGACAATACGGTGAACAGTCGTTATAATCATGTGGATTAATATTGGCAGGTACTCTCCGAACATAAAGGAGATAAAAGTGCTGGAGAAGAAGAAAGTGAGGAGGGCCAAGCTTTACTATCTCAGGGAAAAAATGAACGCACTCAAGAAGTAATAAACTTCCCCATTGAGCAAATGGACTGAAAGGATGGAAAGTCTTCAGTATCATCATTTCAGGCTGCAAACAAGTACTTTAGATCCGCTGCCTTTTTTGGTGCTCAACGTTTTTGGAGGAATGAGTGCAGTACAATAGTTAAAGCTTTCAATTTTAGCCCGAAAATGCTATATTTTCCGGAATAATAGAGATTTACAGATCGACTTGTATTGTTAAGTGCCAAACTCATCACTTATGTGGTTGTGATTTGTTAACAGACTATGGAGGATGTGTTGCATAAACTCTTTGGCATTTGTTGGTATTTTTTGAATTGCTTTTTGCTGGGTAATGTGTGAAACAAAAGACTCCAAAAAGTAGAAACATATTAGTGTATCTGAATCTGTTGCTGCCAATGATATAAGGAAGAAAAAACTGTGTGATTAATTACAATTTGCCGAATTCTTGATCCAATTTTCAAATTTCACTCTTAGACTCTGAACAAGTGGGATAAAAACTTTCTGAAAATCTTCACTTTAAGCTCACAGGTTATCTAATGAATCAATAGCCAACATGTAACATTAGTACAATACATCATATATATCATGTCCCAAATAAATTTTATTACAGGAACAATTTTTTTTTTTTTTTACTTTTTTGGTAGATTTATTACAGGTACATTGGCTCGTCATACTTTTCATTCGCCGTTTTTAGTAATATATAAAGCTTTCGACAACTTTTAATATCTCGAAACCGCACATCATTACTAAATCAAAACGTGGTGGCTGCAAACCCCGAAAGCATGAAAACCGAACATATGCTCCAATATGTGTTAAAAAATAGTCGACAAAAGAAGATCTTGTACGAACAATGCTCGATGCATTTTCTCCTCAAAATCCTGTTCTGCAACCTCGTCCAG